GCTCTGTCAGTGCAGTAGGGAGAGGAAATTTTGGATGAAAATCTTGAAAAATACCCACAAAAAAATTGTTTTTCGAAATATAAAGTTGTTATTATTACAAACGGTGCATAATATGTAATAATAATTTTAAATTCATCATTATAAGGAATACTGTATCTTCATACTTTTTGTGAATATTTTCTGTAACATTCTTAGTCTTATTCTTAGTGTTTTTGGTTTCTTAGTGACAGCTCTGTATTTTTGACGTATAGTGCAAACTGAGTTTCTGTTTCATTTAGTTAGGTTCGTATACATTAGGTAAAACATGTAAATCAGAAATCAGGAACTCATGAATCTGAATCTGAATTTAACAGAATCAATAATTCTGATCATGCTCAGTTGCTATGTCAGTGTAGTAGAGAGAGGTAATTTTGGATCTTGAAAATCTTGAAAAAGACCCACTTCGGATTTTCAGATCTGGGAAAGAAAGTTATGTGCATATGTAACATAGACTTGTTGATCAACCTGCCAAGTTTCATCGACATATGCTGCACAGTCCCTGAGAAAATGTGAGAGATAACTTGGTAATGAGAAAGAAAGTAATTCTAGTACTCCACTTTCAGGTTTCGCCCTTGGTTGCCTCATGGCCATAGACTTAGGCAGAGGGTTCTCTGAATCCGCCTATTCACATAGTTCATACCCACCATAGACTCCGGTCAGTCAAAATGACTATTTTGAACTGTAGGCATTAATCAGCGATTCTGCCGGTGAAGGAGAGATAGAATCTGGGTCAGAGGAAGCCCCATGACCCCAAGATACTCTTTCCTTGACGTCACGAACCACGTGACCAAGCGCATATGGCGGTGCCATAGACGGCTGTACAATAGACCCCAACCCAATTCTGGGGTAGTAAGCTTTCGAAGTAAAGACTGAAACAGTTCTGCATGAGGGCATGAACTATGTGAATAGGCGGGTTCGGAGAACCCTCGCCTAAATTCACTATGTTCAATTACCCACCATAGACTCCGGTCAGTCAAAATTACTATTTTGAACTGTAGGCAGAGTCAGACACCAATAGGTGGCGGGTTTTTCCGAGCAAACAGAAAAAATAATGAAAGTCTTTTCCCAGTCCGGAATGAAAACAAACTCAACACCCTAGTTAAGACCCAAAAAAGGGTGGTTTCTTACCTTGCCTGTGCTGTCCCTGGAGCAAGGAGCCAAAATGCTGCTACGATGACAGGGTTCGGTGTGCCTGAGAAAGCTAGACCCCAACCAAATTCTGGGGGATAGTGAGCTTTCGAAGTAAAGACAGAACAGTTCTGCATGAGGGAATAGGCTGCAAAGCGGAACCTGGAAGCTCCCAGGGGAGTGCTGATGGTAGAGAAATCTGTCTGCATAAAATGCCGCAACTGACTTATTGCCTATGCGCAGGGACCCTTGTGGTCATTCGGGCTGGATCAGCAAACCAAGACGATGGGACCCAACCTAAAGAGACCCTCCTCAATGGATTCTGTGCCTGTTAGGTGGTAGTTGATAAAGACGTTCTGCGTTCTCAAGAAGCCTGCCTTCCATGTATGCTCGAGGGGGGCACCTGACGCTAGCACTAGTGAGTTGGCAATCACACAGACCTCATGTGCTCGTATATGGTGTCTCTGCAAGCTCTGTGTCGAGGAAGTTAAAGTATTATAGACCTCTAATACAGTCGCAGTAAACCACCTGGTTATGGAAGTTGGGGAGGCCAGCCTATCCTGCCTGCCTGGGCCGTAACACAAAGACATGTGCCTGAAACCCCGTCCTGAATCCTTAGTGCGGTTTGGTAGCAACTCCGTGCTCGAACCGGGCAGAGTAGCAATTCCTCCTGGGGATGACGA